TGTTTCCGCCCACAAGAGTAGAGGGCATGGCAATTGTACCATCTTTACAAAGTTTCATAATTCTCTATTTCTAAGTAAAACTAGAGCACATGTCAAGTTTCACCTGCCTCCATATAGCCAAAACACTGTGCGCCGGTTAGAAATTTCTCAGCGATAAGATTTCGAAAGCGTGTGCCCATAGCAGGTGTAGACATGTAGTAAGAGGTATGTTCAGTTGCCACACAGGTGACGTGGGGTATTTGATTAGAAAATAGAAAATGCTAAAAGGAGAAATACATAAGAAGCTGTGAAGGATTAACTAATAAATTTCTTGTTCCAGTTTAATTTCAGTACATTTATGTTAGCAAGAATGAATATATAATATTAATATGCATACATTTAACATATTTTAACATCATTGAATTTGTCAGGTGTGAAGAAGTGGTTCCTACTGTTATAGCTAAGGTGGCGGGCGGCACTTCGTATATATCAGTGACTGAAATTCAGACGACTATGTTGATCTCTCACATATGTGTCATGATATATACAGCATTAGAATAATAATGCTAAAGAATTTACACGAGAAAAGCATATTTTCGCCAACTTTGAAAATAGCATTTGCTCCACGGGCCAAAAGTTCACATTAGCAGCTATCCCACCCATTGCCTGGCAATCGTGGCGATCGTGTTGAATGAAAAGGTACAGAAGCAGCGCAACAGGCATGATAGAAAATTGCAAAAAAAGATACGTATAAACAAACAATAGAAAGTTTTTAATTTTTTTCTCGTTCCGAAGATATTTGGGATACACAAGGCCAAAAGATCTACATACGAATATAAACAAAGTCTAAAATATTTATATTGCTCCAACAACTCATTGTAATAAGGTGAAATATTAGTTCATCGTCAGATTTCCTAAAAAAGCAAACGTAAGTAAACATTTTGTACATTCTAAATGTTTGCAATAATTCTTGGCCTAATTGAATTTCACTGATTTTCACTAATGAGAAAGCACACAACAACTTAAATCAAAAGAACCATCTTGTAAATGATATTTCAGTTGAAATGGCATATCAGCGTAAACAGGTTAAGGAAAATTCTAATCTACTTGGTCAAAATACTGAAAATGGCACTTCAATAAATGAAAACGAAGATACAACGTCCTTACTAAATGGCAAAGCTAAAACTTTAACTGCCAATTTGACCCAACGCACATCTACTGGTACATTCATGAAATTGAAAACATATTTACATGCACTGCGTCCATGGTCATTATCAGGCAGCTTGGTGCCAACGTTGATGGGTTCAGCGTTGGCATATCGTTCTCAATGGGCAGCCGATTTTAGCCTAATAACATTTTTTCTAACCGCCTTCACTGTAGTCACAGTACATTGCGCTGGAAATGTGGTGAATACATATTTTGATTTCATCAAGGGAATCGACAAGCAAAAGGCCGACGATCGCACACTCGTAGATCACATACTTACGAAGGATGAGGTAAGCACATACATATGTATGAATGTATTTTATAAACATTTAATTTTAGTTTTGTTTACATTATTAATAAAATGTTTTCAGTGTACATACATATTATGTATACGGTTACTCCCAAAATTGAGTGTTCTGAAAATTTTTTATATGGAAAAAAATGCGCAGGACAGTCAGCAAAAAAGTTCTCAAAAATCAACTCGATTTCTAGCATGTAAAACATCGCAAATATTAACAAAAAAGAGCAGTACGTTCAATTTTGAGAGTAACTGTACATATCACACACGTTCTTCAAAGGCGTGCTAACTCAAAATCGCTAATTTGTGGGAAAATGCAAGTAATTTTTTTAAGCATATGTTAAATATATGCGCGAGAGAAACTTTACTTTATATGTTTGCAATAAATAACTAAAACAATTGGTGCGGCTTTTGCAGGAAGTTAAATAAATGGTCGGGTGAATTTTTTTAGCTCATAATATCAAAAATGACAAATTTTGAATTATTACACTTTTACAGAGCATGTGCGATATGCATTCCCATATTTTCCGCCCGTTTGACTGAGCGCACTCTACTGCCTGTTCTTTTCTGTTTAAAGACTTATTAACTCAATGTTTTTTTTTTGTTTTTGTTACGCGGTATATCTTTGTTACAATTATACTTCTAATCTCGTATTTATCTAAAAGTAAAGCTCAATCGCGGTACGTTTTAGGTTTTCAGTATTCTATCCTATCTCTTAGAGATACATATCGTCGCTTAAAGTACAAAACCGTGTAACTGACATTGGCTGCCGAAAATTGGATCTATTCGTCCTGAAATATACTAGCCAGAAATGCGATTGCTTTATTAAAAAGAGAACCATTTTGAAATATGAATGTTTTTACTCTCTAGAAAATAATTTATGCCACTTCATACGCTTTTATGCAACCTCACGTTTTGCATTATCTTGATACGCGATTTTGCATTTTGTTGATACGCGGTTTTGTACTTTAAACGACGATATGTATTTAAATTTTCCATATAATAGTTTTATTTTCGCATGCTTATCTGCAACCGGATTCCAACATTGCTATCGCTAATTTTGATCGCCAAAAATCCAAAAGGATAGCAGACGCCCCTAACAACACGCAACATCTATGTAGTTATATTTCCCCATGCTCCCAGATTTGGCTGATTACACATTGCACGTGTTATTCCATCTTGAATACTTTTAGTCCCCACTGCTTTTAATCTAGAGAATTTTGGCGACAAAATTTTGCGAAGCGATTGTCAGAATACCACTGCTGACAAAATTTCAAAAATCAAAGCCAGTTTGTATTCACAACGGCCTTAGCCAACACTTTTCGAAACTGCATTTTTAACAGATTTTGGTAGGATGTATAAAACACATCTTAAATAAAAATTTTAAGTAGTAGTACCAAAAACAATGGAGTTATATGCCACTTTTGAAAATGCACTACTTGTTTTTGCTACTCTTTTTATACTGTTTTTTACTTCTGTAAAATAAAAAATTTGTTGGTTAGGGCATTTGTGGATTAATTGTGTGTAATATCTAAATTGTTACATAAAAAAACAGCAAAAGCCGTAACCATAAAAAAAAATATTAAAAGTCAGCGCGATTGGTTGAACATTGTAAACAAATTGAAATATAAAGGGCTATAAAACCGCATACCAAAACTTTTCCAAAAAATTTTAAATAAAAAGTTGCAATTTGAATGAAATTTTGCAGAATTTCCGTAATTTTTGTACAAGGTTTGAAATTTGAGTTTATATATTTGGTTTTTGTTAGAACCTTGTAAATTTGTCCGGCACTGTATGTACATTGAGAGGTGATTTCTTTAAGTCAATTTAATATATTTTCTTAATTTGTAGGTTGTCTCATTGGGAGCAATTTTGTACATGGCTGGTTGCGGCGGCTTCATCTGCTTAGCCTTTCTGAGTCCAGCTAAAATGGAACACCTGGCGTTAATTTATTTCGGCGGTCTATCGTCCAGTTTTCTTTACACTGGTGGAATTGGTTTCAAATATATTGCCCTTGGAGATGTTGTAATTTTGATACTCTTCGGACCATTGTCAGTATTGTTTGCGTTTATGTCACAAACAGGTCATGTGGACTGGACCACAATATACTATGCTATTCCTCTGGCACTAAATGCCGAGGCTATACTACATAGTAATAATACTCGCGACGCTGAAAATGACCGTAAAGCAGGGATTGTGACGTTAGCAATAGTCATCGGACGCACTGCATCGCATGTTTTATATGCATTGTTGCTATTTACGCCGTACAGCGTATTTGTAGTATACGGTTTGAACTATTCGCTATGGTTTTTATTGCCGCTCATAACTGTTCCGCAAGCATTTCAAATCGAGAAACGTTTTCGTAATGAACAAACAATGAGTTCTGTGCCACGGCAGACGGCAAAATTAAACTTTTTTTTTCGGGGTGCTTTTCATAGTGGCGATATGCTGTGCTAAACAACTACCCGACTTCAGTTACCGCAGACATTAGAATGATAACTTTCATATTCATACCAGTAGGGAACAATAACTTTCATTTAATGATAGAATTGACCATGTCATACGATAATACATACTTACGTAAATATACACGATTTTTAACGCTTCCCATACTTATGACAAATGAAAATATATGAGAGGGAAATATTGGAGTTAAGTCACAGAAACAATATACTCTTTACAGTAAATTATGTATATGTAGTGCTTAGATAAAACTAAAAAATCTATCAATAAAATATAAAATCATGATAATGCAGCTTTTACAAAAACTAAATCTGAACTTTCATCTAAAATAGCTTAAGTCGAAACCCATTTTGTAACAAATAAAAAATATTTAAAATAATTTAGCGTGAATATAGGGAATTTTTCGTAAACGTTAAAAAATTCTATGAATAAACGTAGTAACACGAAATATCATAAAATGGAAAGTGATTATCTGAACGTTTTTTTCAATGTTACAATTTTTAAGTTGTGTACTTTATTCTTAAATTCAACTTTTAATTTCTTTCCATCCCATTAAAAAATCTTAGTTGTTGTTGTTGTTGTTGTTATTGTAGCGGCTACAACAACTCCGCCCAGATCGGCCCTAAGAAGCGTGCAGCCTCCATAGGGTCGGTCCACAGGGACAAAGCCGTTAGAGCTGTCGGGTTTTCCGGGCATGCGAAGAAATATTTCAAGTCGTGAGGGGTCTCTCCGCATGCCGGACACTCATTTGGCACATCCGCGTTTATTCTGCTCAGGTATGAGTTTAACCTGCTGCAGTAGCCAGAGCGAAGTTGGGCTATTGTGGTTCTTGTCTTCCGAGGCAGATGAAGCTCTGTCTCGTCAATGTCCGGTGGTTGTGTGCCTAGAACGGCATTCACAGGTCTGGAGTCTACATAACTCGAGACTGACTCCCTGTGAATGCCGTTCAGGGCCTGTCGGTATGCTGACGGGTCCAGAGGTATTAGTTGTTGTTGTTGTTGTAGCGGCTACAACAACCCCGCCCAGATCGGCTGATATCTCAGTCGTTGTCGTCGAGTTCCACTAGCGTGCAGCCTCTATGGGGTCGGTCCATAGGGACGACGCCGTTAGGGTTGTGGGGTTTTCCGGGCATGCGAAGAGATGTTTCGAGTCATGAGGGGTCTCTCCGCATGCCGGACATTCGTTCGGCACATCCGCATTTAACCTACTCAGGTAGGAATTTAGCCTGCTGCAGTAGCCAGAGCGAAGTTGGGCTATTGTTGTCCTGGTCTCCCGAGGCAGATGGAGCTCCGTCGCGTCAATGTCCGGTGTTTGTGTGCCTAGAACGGCATTCACAGGTCTTGAGTCTACATAACTCGAGACTGCGTCCCTGTGAATGCCGTTCAGGGTCTGTCTGTGAGCTGACGGGTCTAGAGGTTGCTTAATGAACCTCTGGACTTCGTCCGTCAGTTCATATAGATGCCTCCTGACGTGCCTCGGCGAGGGCTCCTCTGCAAGCAGCTGTCTATTTGGGTGGCCACATCTGTGGCTCCCAGCAAGAAACTGCTTGCAGAGCATCGTGTTGTGCTCCCTAATTGGGAGCATTTTCGCCTCATCGTGGAGGTGGTGTTCTGGTGACATCAGGAGGCATCCGGTCGCTGTCCTTAGTGCTGTATTTTGTACCGTATGTAGCTTCGTCCACTGCGTCCTACTAGTCTCCGGCGACCACACTGGTGCTGCGTAGTTTAAAACCGGCCGGCCTATTGCCTTGTATGTTGCCAGCAACGTTTATTTGTCTTTGCCCCAAGTACTGCCGGCTAGCGACTTGAGGACCTTGTTGCGGCTCTGTACTTTATTGACAATAGCGGTTGCGTGCGCGGAGAAGGAGAGCAGGCTGTCGAATGTTACTCCGAGAATTTTAGGATTATTCACCGTCGGAATTGGTGTGTCATCGACGTGAATTCCTAGCGGTAGCCTGACCTCGTTCGTCCAGGTTGTAAAAAAGGGACGCAGAGGATTTCGTAGGGGAGAGGGCTAGACACTTTGCAGTGAAGAAGCGAGAAAGTTCAGAGAGATATCCGTTTACTTTCGAACACAGGTCATCAATTCCATTCCCAGTCGCCATGATCGAGCAATCGTCGGCGTAAGAGACAATCGAGACTCCCTCTGGTGGTTGAGGGAGCATTGAAATGTAAAAGTTAAACAGTAGTGGGGGAAGGACACTACCCTGTGGAACCCCCTGTTTTATTTTCCTAAGTTTGCTCGATTTGTCTCTAAACATTACCGACGAGTGTCGACCATTTAGATAATTTGCCGACCACCGTTTGAGCCTCTGTGGGAGAGAGGAAGCCTCTATATCTTCTAGTAGCGTGGAATGGCTGACAGTGTCAAAAGCCTTTGACAGGTCCAACGCTACTAGAATCGTTCTCTCACAGGGACCTTTACGGTTAAGGCCACGAGTTATCTGAGTGTTTATGGCGTTAAGTGCTGTTGTTGTACTGTGCACTTTCGGAAACCATGCTGATGCTTCGCTGGGGTCAAGTGGTTTGTGAAATACGGGAGTAGCAAGGCCTCGAGTGTCTTCGCTACCGGGGAAAGGAGTGTTATCGGACGATAAGAATGTTCTATGTTGGCAGGTTTCCCCGGTTTGAGCAGTGAGACCACTCTCCCCACCTTCCAGATGTCTGGGATGATGAGAGTGGCCATGGACAAATTGAGGACCTCCGTTAGGTACGCTACCCCCGCAGGACCCAAATTTTTCAGCATCAGCATGCATATTCCGTCGGGACCCATGGCTTTGGAGGCTTTCGCCTTCCCGATGGCCACCTGAACTTCACCGCAAGTGAAAGCAAGGGGGGCACAGGTTGTTGGCAGTTTGTGCAGCCTTCTGGTCACTCGACGCTTGGCTTTGTCCACCGGAGGATGCAGTATAAACTGCCGGCTAAAATAGCTCGCGCATCGCTCCGGGTCCGACGAAGCATGGTCGCCGAAAGAAATTTCGACTCTGTCGTCGTGCTTCGTCGGATTGGACAGTGAAATCACGGTTGACCAAAGCTTACTCACACCAGAGGTGAAGTTGCAGGTCTTCAGATGCTCTTCCCACTTCTTCCGCTTATGTACGTTTACTAGTTGCCGAATCTCCGCGTTGAGATCCCTGATACGGGGATCTCCGGGATCGGCTTGACGAAGGCTGTCACGCTCGTCGGCTAGAACAGCCGCTTCAGCAGGGAAATTTGGGCGTGGGTCGGTGATGCATCCTGCCGGTACGAAGCGGGCTGCAGCAGCGGTGACAGCCCTGCGGAACTTACGTTCACCAAGGTGGACGTCGGTTGGTGTGGGGAGGGCAGCGAAGGTGTTTTCAGTAAATTCCGCGAAGCCTTTCCAATCAGCTTTTGAAAAGTTGATATATGTTCGGTCCTCCGCGGAAGCAAAGTCGGTTGGTTTATCGATCGAGATGACTATGGGCAGGTGGTCTGATGCCAAAGTCAGCATAGGTCGCCATGATATGCTGTTTATCAGACCAGCGCTGACTATTGTTATGTCTGGTGAGCTGCAGCAGCTGCCCATAATCCTGGTGGGTGCGTCGTCGTTCATTGTGCGGAATGTCGAATCGTCTATCTGCTCAGTCAAGTCAGTTCCCCTACGATCGTTCGACAGGCTTGAGTGCCAAAGATCGTGGTGCGCATTAAAGTCGCCTACTACTATACGGTTTTCACCTCTGAGGAGCGCACCTATGTCAGGGTGATATCCTACCGGGCAACAGGTGGCAGGGGGTATATAAACGTTAAATATTTCGAGCTCAACATCGCCTGACCGGATAGCAATGCCCTAGCATTCTAGGGTGGTATCCCTGCGGTCGATGTCTGCTTCGATAAGACGATACTGCACGGTGTGGTGCGTAATGAACGCTAAGCCTCCACCATTATCCCGCTCGCGATCTCGACGGTGCACGTTGTACCCGGCATAATTCAACAGTGTTGAATTGCTGTGCAACTTCGTCTCTTGGACCGCAGCTATCAATATGCCATGCCTTCCCATGAAGACGGTTATCTCCCCGAACTTGCTCTGAAGCCCGTTACAGTTAAATTGAAGGAGCTTCATGTGGTTCGGGAGACGTGTGGTTATGCGGGGTGTGAGGGATGTGTGTGGTCGAGCCGCAGTTGGCTGTGTGCGCTGCTGAGGTGGTTGCCGCCCTGTGGTAGTGGCAGGAGGCGTCGCAGTTGAGGTCTGCGACCAGGCAGCGCAACATGGGCCCTCGAAGTTCCTCGTCCAATCTCGCGTGGTGCGCAGACCTGAGCATGCCCTAAAGTGGCACCAGCCAAGGCAGGTGTTGCACTTTACTGATGTCACATTACGGAATATCCTGGTCTGACATACCGTGCAGATTGTAGGAGGAACCTGGAGTTGTTGGCGGCGGCGTGGTGGGAATGTGTCATTCCGGTACGTAGAACCGGCTGTCGTGGGAGAGGTATTAGTATTTAACCATGGTGAAATTATAACAGCTGGTGTAATTAGAGCGATAAGAAAGGTTTGACAATATCTTATTTTAAAATTTGCCTTTAAAAATTTCTATAAGAAAACCGAATGTTTAATACCATGGAGAAATTCTAAAGAGGTGTAGTAATAAAGAAGCTTTCTCGCTTTATTTTCTTAATTTTCTTGACATTCGGCTATCTTCTAGAAATTTTGAAAAGCAGATTTTCGAATAAAATGGTGTCAAACATTTCTCCTCGCTCTTATTACTACACCTGGTATCATGATAAAAAAACAGAAGGTAGTTTCACTCAATGATTTCAGTGCCCATGCTAACCATTTAACTTTTGCTGGCATTATGACAGCTCCATCAAAATCAAGCTTCCAGCTCCAAAAACATAATTTTTCGACTGCCTTTGAAAAAGTTTCACGCAATAGCTTTAAATCCTTTGCATGAAAAGCAGAGAAGGTTTTCTCGATTTCAAATGTTTTCGATAATATGCCGAGTTAGACTTAATGAAATAATTGAACCAAGTGGGCGGTGCCACACCCAATTCCTTAAAGTCTATAAACATTTTATTCATTGTTAAGAGGTTGTAAGTATTAACTTGGGGTAAATTAGCGCCAGTTGTTGAAATATCTTAGTTTACGTATTTCCGAAATTTACCGTTATACGGGAAGCGGGTGTAATTTTAGTCCGATTTGAATTATTTTCAACGAATTGCCTTTTCGGTACCACGGTTATTACGTGGACCGAGTTTGATCACTCCGTTACCGAGATACCCATTTGTGGTCATAAGTGAGTGGCGCCACGCCCAATATCCAAAAATTTGTGATAATCTAATTTTCTGCTAAGTGGTTATTGCAATCATCGGTTTTTACTGAATTAGTTTCAGTAGTTACTGATTTATTGCAGTTTCCGTGT